AATTTGCCATCATTTAAAGTATTTTGTTTTGTAGTTATAAATAATTAACATACCTTTTATGATTTTTTTTACTGTTTTACCTTACGGGGCATACTTTCTCTTCACACATGTGTAACCTCCAATAGCAATAACAGTTATGAAGTATATCCCCAGGGAAGACTTTCCCTAATAACCTTTAAAGTGTAAATCTATGCACCATTCTTGCCAACATGAATGTTTCAGTAAGTGAAACTAATATTCTGTACTTTTCAGCATAATAGTAAAAAAAAGAATAAATTTCAAATGCAAAAGTTGAGAGACAGTTCCTAATTTTAACTCTGCATAACAACATGAATGGTGTTACCTCCAGTAACAGAAGTGACTGCACAGTTAGGCCATCTGACTTTTCAAGTATAATTTTTATGTTGAGGTGATGGCAGAGAAGTGTGTTATATTTAACTATGCTTCTTCTAGTGTAACTTCTGGAAATGCAGTAAAAAAGCATGCTATTCTAAAGAGTTCCATAGGAAAAGAAGATGATAGTGATCCATCCTTAGTTAGATAAAGACAGAATGCATAACCACATATTTAATATATTTAGATTAGCAGCCACAGCAATTAGGATCATAGTTACCCTTGATCTCAAATTGGTTTTCTACAGTTTAATTCCACTTAAGGCAATGCATTACTCTTGGTTTACACATCAGGAAATAAAATTTGATCTATAATAGTTATTACTATTCTCTAAAAGGGAAGATTGTAATTAGTGGGTTTTTTAAACTTAAAATTTGAGGAAATGCTCTAATGAAAAGTATAATATTGTGTCTATGTATGCAGAAATATACATGAATATACATTCAGAAAATTATGCTGTAATAATGAAAAGTAAGGCTATAAAAGAAGAAATTTATTAAATTTTTAATCAAGTTAGTACTTATGAAAAGGTTTCTTTGTCTCTTTTTATGTTTTATTCTAAGCTGATAGATGGAATTTTTGAAGCATTAATATAAAATATATAAATATTCCTGAGTCCTTCCTCACAGGATTCCTTTAGGTTCCTAAAATACATATTCTACCCAGTCTCCAGTGGGGCATGCAATACCAATTTCCATACTGAAATATAATACCCACAGTAATGAAACTAAACAATTATTGTTATGAATGCATGTTTTTTGGTAGGGATTAAATAGATCTGTGCCATAAACAGTATCCTCACAGTGAAGTCAGTATTTGTGACTCAGATAGAGCAATATCAGACTCTCATTTCATTTGATGGATCCTGTTCCCATTACTATTTTAAAAGACTGCATCCCCAACAGCAGCCTGATGAATGATTTAATGGACACATATACTTGCTTTTTGTGCCCCCGATATTTTTGTAAAGACTTTTTTTCTGAGTTCACTTCTCCTTTATGTTTTCTAATCAATCTAAGCAGTACATCATTAATATTAATATTTTATTTATTTAAGTAAATCAGCAAGGCAGACATCTCATTCAATATTGATACTTTGACCATATTATAAATTGGCCTGAGAAATGAAATATTTCTATATATTAATACTGGAGAACATAAAATGTGGGGTTTTTTAGATCCTCTTCATCTTCTCCTTAAGAGTTTTCAGACAGTTTGTTTTTTTTTACTTATGGATTTTGTGATCATAATGGTCTTTTGAAGAAAATTTATGCTTTAAAAAACTGCTTGCAATTTTTATTTAAAATCATGTAGATAAATGTTTGTAAATTGTTTGTAGTTTGCTAACATATTTAGACTTGAAATACACAACAGATTATCTTTTCTCATATTTTAAAGACAGCATCTCTCAAGATAACATCAGTGGCCACACCACTTACACTAATGAAGCTATCACGTAACTTAAAACATTGTGTGGTCACTGCACACAATGTAATTCACACTAAGGAAATTATTCATTATTATTAATAATTAATACTTTGCTACCCTCTTTTTCTGGGAAGAGGTTGGAGAGGTCACATGATTTCCTCATTGCAGAATCCATGAAATGATTTTCTGTCCTACTTTGTTATAAACAAAAAGAAGAAAAGAGTAAATACTAATTGCTGATGTCTTTCTAATTAGCTTCCTAGACTTACTAGGAGGTATATGCACAAGACCACTAGTGTGGTCCAACTCCTAACAGTTTGCTTCACTATTCACTAGAACTATGCCTGCATGGCTCTTCATCAGAGTCACCAGCTACTGCACACAAGAGCTCATTATGTTCCTGTGATGCAAATTCCCATTACAGATGTGTTGTATGTCAACTGAGAGAGCTAAGTTTGTGCGTATGGCTGTGTTGCCATAAGTATGCCCATGCAAATACAGGCAAGGACTAAGGTAGAATGATGTTCAGTAGCTGTCATTTACTTTCTATATACCCCAAGGACTTGACAAAATCTGAATATAACTGAAAATTTATTTCTACTTGAGAATAGCGGTCTATATGTTAAAAACTATCTGAAAGGTATATCCCACACAAAGACAAATTTTCCTGGGAAGACCTATTAAACAAATGATATTGTTATACATCAGGAGTAAAGTAGCATTGCACCTAAATTGGCCCTTTTTTTGCTCCAAATAAACTTAATAGTGTCACTATATTTTATTTCAGTGGGATGCTATTGTTAAAGCCTGAGCAACAGAAAAATAACAACAGCTGTCTCATTTCGTACTTACCTAATTGACTGTGGTTTATTTATTGAAGAATGATACATGCAAACAAATTGTAACTTCCTTTTAAGATTTCATTCTGGATTGAATAAAGGCTCATGCAACACACAAAGTTGGTGGGACAGTTTAAGGAGCATTCAATGTCCTAGCTATTCTGTGTTTGATTTAAAAAAGCAATATGCTCACCAGCACATGCCAGACCAAACAATGGAACCCATGAATAAAATTTTGAAAATTATTTTTCTTAGTTAAAAAGTGGAAGTATTACTGTTAAAAAGGTGTAATTACATGCATATTTTAGTATTCAGCAGAAAAAAGGTAATAAGCAAGATGAATATTGTTTGGTCGTTCAACCAGAATTTAATCTCAAATAATTTCATGCAATGTGCAAAGACCTGTCTTTCTTAAAGTTTACATTATAAGTGTTCTGCTAATGTAAGTGTTTGTACTGTGGTTGTATTTACTGATCCTCTTGAAAATAGATAGGGCAGTACTCCATTCTATGTTCAAAACATTAAGTTTCTTTAAAATGATTGTGTGACCCAAAAAAAAAAAATCATCCCAAACCACAATCACTTGATATGGTGACAGTTAAGAGTTAAAATCCATTTAGAAAAAGAAACAAACCAGAATAGAAGGCAAGCAGATAAAGAGTACATGGAGCTTCTAAAGAGCCAGGGTCAACATGCCTGGCAGAACAGTGCTGGTCCATCTCTCTCTGAGGGGGGTTACCTTGATGGAGCCGCTGGAGTGCATCTACACCAAAGAATTATCTTCGGTAAAAGAAAAAGGGAGACCATGACTGATAACATTTCCTGGGAGAAGCAAAGTTAACAAACAGCAAAATAATTCCACTTTTAGCTGAACTTACGTTTGTGTGGTCCCTGCAAACACTCCTGCATTATGTGCTTTATTCTTAGAACATATATATGTGAAAGGCACACAGCATCTTTTTTACTTTTAGTTAAGACACTAACCAGCTGCTGGATCGAGGAAAAAATCATCCCTTCAGTAACTCTGTGACCTCATTAATCATTTTGTCTGACTTCATCAACTTCATCATGTGTTGTTTCTTGGTCTTCGCTTCTTTTTTAATTTTTTTTTTTCTATTTAACATTTGCAAATATTTCCCATTTTCTAGCCCCGGTTCATCTTGTTGAAGCAGAAGGGGCACAGCCAGTGGCTGGGCGGACGCCCGGCCGCAGGCGACACGGCCCCAGCGGGGAGAAGCAGCGGCGAGCCCGCCGCCACCTTCATTTCACGGGCGAACCGGCGAGGTAAACCCGGGCAGCCCGGCTCCCCGGTGTCACCCCCGGCACGGCGTACTCTCCTGCAGCCGTGGGGAGGCAAACTTTGCGGGAAGGACCGCGAAGCGACAGGCCGGCAGGGAGCGGGCCAGGCAGCCCTCGAGCGTGCACCGCCATCCCCTGGATGCCCCCGCCCTCCGTCGCGGCGGTGCTGCCGCTGTCCCGCTTGGCGCTGCAGGCGGGCGGCCGGTCCAGCCGTTCCCCGGGGAGACCCGCGGGCGGGGGGGCGGCGGCGCAGGATTAGGTTTCAGGCCGGCGGGGCGTGCCCGAGCGCGCTGCCCCCGCGGCGCGGATCGCTCGGCGCCGCTACTCGGGGGCGGGAAGGGCGGAGACCAGGGCCGGGCGGCGGTGCCGCCGAGCCGCGGGGGTAAGCGGGGCGCCGGGCCGGGTGGCGGGGAGGGTGCTGAGCTCACCCGCGTCGTCCAGAGGGGATGCGGGCCGGGGAGGGCCCCGCCATGTCGCTGGAGTTTGAGCGGCATTTTAAAATGCATTTGTCTCGCGAAGTTTTATTTATTATTGTTCTGTTGGTCCCCTGGGTTTTGCCGGGGAGGGGAATGGCTGGAGGAGGAGAGAGGCCGTGGAGCCGCGGGGGTCGCTGAGCCTGTTGCTGTGTCCCGTCCCTCCCGCCCCGGGCTGTCGGCGGGCAGCGGGAGCGGCGCTGGGGGCCGCGCTGGGCCGGGGCTCCGGCCTGCGGCGGCGGGCGGTCCGCGGACTCCAGCGGCCTGACGGGGATACGTCCTCACATAAACAAAAGCCGAGCCTCCCCCGGCATCTGCAGGGAGCCCTGCTGCCCGCGCCCCCCCTCACCCCACGTTTTCAAGCCCCGCCGGTGTTTCCTGCCTGGGAGGGTCTCCTCATCTGCCGCCGCTGCCACTGACCCGCGAGCGGCCCTCGGCCAGCGCCTGCGGTCGGCGGCGTTCACCCTCGCTCGGAGCCAGAGCCGGAGCGGAGGCCCGGGCGAGACCGGCGGTGTCCTTGGGCTCGGGGCGGGGCGGCGGCCGCGGGTGCTCGGGGTCGGTACCTGTTGCCGTGGTGGTGGCGGCGCTTCCGCAGGTCCGGACCCCGCTGCGGCGCTCCAGCAGCTCCCCGGGTACGCCTTTAAACGTGACGGGTTTGGCAGAGTGGAAGCGGAGCGGCGAAGAGCCGCCCGCAGTCGTGCCCTTTGATACGTCTGGATGCGCAAAGGAAAGGGTCTGCTTTTCGGGGTGGTTCGTTCCTCGTATGGTATTCCCCCTTGCTGCCTGCACCTCCTCCATATGTTACTGGAAATAGTAGTAGGAAGAAAGGGAGCAAAAGAAAAACTCTCACAAAGCCGACCTTTTGAACTCCGTGTACCGCATTTAACAGGCTTGATTTGCCACTTGGCTGAAGAATGCTGTGGTTTTATTTTTGTTTCCTTTTCCCTGTCTTTTGCTTTTATAACACTGCCGCGTCCCGTTATATTTTTACTTCTTAACACGTGCAGAAGGTGGGGTTTTTTATTGTAAACTGTTGAATAGAAAACGTCCTTACCGGCTTTGGTGCCAGAAATGGTATCAGAAGTGTGTCTCTGGAGCAGAGCAGTGATTTACCGTAATCATACGGAAGGGTTTGAATTCTGCAGTTGCGGAAGTTCTATTGTGTGATGCCCTGTGATTCTCATATAACTGCTCCGTTTTCCAAGATAACAGCAACTCGTTGGGAGGGAGGAATCTAAACTGGAAAAGGGGAAAGTGGTAAAGTATTTTTTAGGAATGTTACTTAAGGCTTCCTTGGAAATTGAAAGTAGTTGTAACATTAGAGGAAAAGAATGCAGATTGAAAATATCTAATATCGACCTTAATAAGCAACATTTTTTAAGGCAGAGAACATCAACTTTTTTTTTTTCCAAAATTGTTATGCATTTCTAGTATGCATATTTTTTATCTCTATGTATCTAGTTAACAGTAACATGCATGTAACATTTACTGATTAGCTCTTGTGTTTCTAATTGTTTCCTTAGTGCTTTGAAGAAGCTTTTTCATCAGGAACTGGATACACTCTCTCCTCTTTACACTAGGAAAGTTAGATCAGTATCAGCATCAGGCAAGAGAGAACTGCACTACTTACATACTAATTGATGATCTTTATATTCCTCCTGGCCCTTTGTCTGTGAATTCTTCAGCGAGAAATGCCGTGCCGCTTCTCAGTCACCCAGATCGCTGTAGATGGTTCTGTTTTAATAAGTAGCACTTTGATCACTGTACTGAGAACCATTTTAAAGACCTTTAAAATCATCTTCTCCATGTTTCCTGTAAGAAAGTTTACATTATGTGAAGAGCATCCAATAAATTTTCTAATTGGCTTTGTATTTAAGCATCCTGATGAAGCAATTTAAGCCAATACAGTTCTATGCTGGTACTGTATACTGTATCATCATTGCTAAGGACAGTTTTGTTGGCATTCCCAATAAGTCAGTACAAAAATGTGCTACTTTTGAAGTATTTCTTTCGTAGACTTTTCAAACCTTGTCCTTGCATCTGAGACCTCTTGCACAGTGGTCTTGTTATACAGTGTCGTGATTTTCTGTGTAACTTGCTTGTTATTGTCGCAGTATACAATGAGAAATTTCCCTTTTCAGTTTGTAAGGAAAATAATGACTCTTTGTTGAAGCTCACTGGCAACTGTTCAGTGAAGCTTTGTATTTATTCATTTATGTATGCTGTTGTCACCTCTGTGAAGGATGCAGTATACATTAAGAGGTGCAACTGCTGCAGGAACTATGGTTCATCAGGTTTAACTGAATTTAGTGAATACGGTAATCAATTGCCTATGCTGAAAACATAAAGAGGCAATATTAATCATGCCTATGTTTTGTTAATTCAGTGTCTGTTGTGTCCCATATATTCAACATATACCAAAAACTTTCTTTTTAGTTTCTGAACCTTATTTACTTCAGAAGTCAGAAGAAAGGATTCCAACTGTTCTCAATTTAAATATTTACTGAAAAAATACCTTTTTGTAAACAGATGGTATGTTTGTTTCATTAACCAAAAAAGCCACCAAAACCCCACTAGAAACACTTCACTTACTATGTTGTCATTTTTGCAATACTCTATGCAAATCACTTTTAAATAAGCTATATCAGACAGGTTTGTCAGTAGGTGAAAGCATTATGGATAGTTTAAGCCAATTTTCCAGTTGCAATTATCACTTGCATGTCAGTTAACATGGATATTTTATATTATGCTGATATAGGTCTCCTTCCAGTGTTACAGAACATTATTTATTATACACGGTGAACAGACTGCCAGTTCATCAAAAAGAATTTTAAGTTTCTTTAGTACATTAATGTGTTGTATACAGCAGGTTAAAAATAGTTGAATGTTCAAAATTCTGTTTTCATAGTTGCTTCAAAATACATAAAGCTGTTCAACTCTATAACAGAACTTTTCTCTAACATACAGAGCCATTACATCTCTACATATTTTTGATGCATTCAGCATTTTGCTAAATTCTAGAGGCTACTAACATCTTTTCAGACTTCTTAGAGTCTTAATATAGACTGTGTGAATACTGCCTTTTTATTTCTACTTTGAATGTTTCAGAACAATTTTCATTAGCATAGCTTTTAAATGTAAATGTCAGGCTTCTCTTGCTTACCTGTTACATTCCAGAGAGCCAGTGGAAATCTGCTTTGTTCCTTGTGGAACAGTGCACGTTAATTTTGCTTGTATTAAATCCTTAATTTGAATCAGTTCTCTCTTTTGTCATTCAGAAGCTAGCAGTCTAGGGTCTCTTGGCTGATGAAACTGAGTGGTTGATGTTAATTTGGCCAGCGCATGTCCTGTCAGTAAAATGGTAGGCTAGCCTTTTTTCCCCTTCTTTCTTCCTTTCCACTTATTGTTTTTGTTTATCATGTTTTCCCTGTTGGTCACTGTTCTCTTGCATTTATCTCCATATGCTTTCTCAGTGTACTTAAGAAAGCGCTGTATGCAAGAGTAAAATTGCCTTTGTGACAGTAGAAAAATACATAGAAAAGCATGAGATTTTTCAATTTACCATTAATAGTTTCTACTGCATTTATTTTGACAAGACTACTCCCAGAGAATCTGAGATCCACCTTAGTTTTCTTCCTGGGCTTAGTAGCCAGCGTGCAGAATGTAACTGGGCAAAATGGAAGAGCTCTTGGAATCTGCAGGCAAAGCAGAAGGTTTAGCAGTAATTAACATCTTCCACTTGCTGCATGTTTTGGTTTCCTTTCCTGCACCATGCAGTGCTAACACAATATGCCTGTTTGAGTGATAGCCAGAAAATATGGGAGGGAAATGACATGGGATAAAAATCAAATGTTAAATGATATCTCTAGCACACACAGAACCAGGCCCAAGTGTTGAAATTTAGATTAGAAGTTTCGAAATACTCTTTTTTAACAGCTATTAAATGCCTGTTGTGGTTACCATGCTGCTTAATTGAAACAGATTTAATTTTAATCTCATGCCAAAGTTTGGGCCCAGAGATCACTCTTAAGATAGGCATTTCCTCTGTATGCTCAGAGCACTTCAAGTAATGCAGGAGCTACAGGGCAAAGCCTATTACTGTGTTTTCTATCTTTGGCATTGCATGTTTGGTAATCCACTACTATGAGCATTAGTTTCCAGGTTATTATCTGAAATGACTTTGTGAAATAGTAGATGCAGTATCTATCAATGAAACAGAGTAGGTTTCTTTGTAGAAACTAAATTATCAGGTGTGAAAGAATAATCACTGGAAAAAGGTCTTTCTGTTTTCTCTTGAATCTTTTGTTTGTTTAGCTAAGTGTCTTGTGTGGCTGCAGTGGAAAGGAGGTGATCAAATAAATTTCAGGTTGTTTTTTTTTAAATTCTGCCACCTGTGGATTTTAGCATTACAGAAGTGGACGGAAGGAAACCAGAGCTGCAACATGCCAACTGTTTTCTGGCAACCAACCTTATCAAAGAAGGGTACCATAGAGAGTAGAGAAATGTGTATATAACACATTTTTGTTTCTTAGCATGTGAAGAGTCAAATTCCCAAAGTGCAAGTTTGAAAGGGATCATTTTTAATTTTCATTTATACTTAGAGAGAAGACCATGTTTGTCACCACGTACCTGTCTAAAATTCCTTGTGTTTTCTACTTTAGTGTTATAAAACAGAAGGAAAAATAGAAGGTGGAGAGGGTTTTTGTTTGCTTTTTTTTAAGTCATAGCTTTCAAGTATCTGTGCCTTTAAAACTTGAAAGTATATTTAACTTGCTATTTCCTTAGCAGCATTTCTTTGAGGTGCCAGTTAAAAAAGTCTAACACAGACAGTCTGTGTCCTTATTACTGTGAAGAGATTAATGAACTTTAACACTGAAATACAAAAATAGTTAAATCTACTTTGAGCTAAGCTAGTAAGCTCTTTGAGGCATGAGCAGTATGGTATGATGTATAGAAGGGCTAGTTTTGGCTTCAGGTTCCTGTGATACAAATTGCCAGGAGTTTGCAAAATGAGAAAATCAGAACGAATCTTCCCATTGTACATGTAGAAGTCTGTGATGGCATTATAAAAATATTCACAATAGCAAATGATAGACTTACACCTGTCAGCAAGTCATCGTGCATGCCTCTCTACTTCTCCCTAGCACATTATTTCTAGTATACCTAGAAACCAAAGTTGGTTTAAAGGCCGGGGCAGCCTGCAGTGGGTGGTGTTGCTTACGGATGTGTTTCAGTGGTGCATTTTGGACAGATGTGTGGTTGCTTCTCCTGTACTTTCAGTATGTTAATGTGCCACTAAGCTGGTGCTGACAGATCCCACTTGTTAGCATGGATGTGGCACAACAGGAGCACAGTCATGTGGGGTTTTGCCATTTCAGAGTGCAGGCAGAGAGAACAGGGGTCATCTTGGCCTGCGATGCGTAGAAACGCTGGTGTTCCTCAACACATTGCATCTGCCTCAGAGGTGTCCCGAGGGAAAACATCTTGACAACAGTTTTTGTCTTGCTCATGCTTATTGCTGCAGTCAACAAAAGCATTAAGCTGGCCATCTGGGGAGGGATTTCCTGCTAATGTAAACACAAATAAACTGAGAGTTAAAAATGGATTTGCTGATGCTAGCATAGCACTGGAGCAGTATTAATTTCTCTCTCTAAAGCATGAGGTAAAGAGAAAGTATGTAATGAGTGTATTAGCAGAGCTAAGGACTTCTTTTCATTGCAAATTAGATACCATCATCTCAATTTGTAGAGTATGTTTAGGACTTGAGTCTGCTTTTAGAAATCTTTCACTATAAGTTATCAGAGTTCATACCTTCAGGGTTGCCTGAACACAGTGGTGACCTTTTCTGCTGTCGCTTGTAAAATATGCCTTTCACAGCATGGCAGAATGAGATTTTTGACAAATAGAGTTATGGTATAAAGCAATATCCAGCTATTCCAAAAGACAGGGACATTTTACAGCTGCATCTCTTCTTGAGGTTCTTGTGGAGCTGAAGCAGAACAGTAACCCTTTATTTTTCCTGAGTAGTTTCGTCTGTTGAACATATAATGCTATGTGCTTGTGTGTATAGTGCTGTGATAAACAGGATCATGGCACTAAAATGACTGAAAAATACTCCATATCTATTTTTTTGCACACTTTTCTGGTTGGATCTGCTACAGAGCCCCAAGAATAGCTATAGAGAAAGAACTGGAACAGTGAAACAGGAAAGAACTGCTTTGATTGGTATCATCACTGAGAAAGACACTTATGAATGTGACGTAAATGTAAACTTGTAAATAGGGACTCTGAATAGAAGTGACAGTAGTTTGTTAATCTAAAAACGAGCTTTGGGTGATTAAGATTTGGGGAAGCCAGCTTCCTTCATAATATTTAAATAATCTCATCCAGCCCTTTCCATATAAAATAGACTTAATTTTATCTTGTTTTGTAGAGTGACAGGGTGAAAAAACAAGACACTTTCAGGTTTTGAGATCTGGCAATCATGTGCTGGGATTTCCCTTGCCAAGCGAGAAAACAAATTCATAAAGGCTTATTTTTATTTGTTACTGATATTCTATTGGATTCTATTGGATCATGGAATAAGATTACTTTGACAAAATCAGGTTTAAGGGATTTGAATGTTTGTCGCTAAGTGGTATGTTGTCCTGATTCTATACCAATGTATTGGCAAATTCAAAAGCAACCTTCAGAGAAGTTCTGAATGCTCCCATTGCTGGAAGTATTCAAGACCAGGCTGGATGGAGCTCTGACTAGCCCGGTCTAGTGCAAGGTTCCCTACCCATGGCAGAGGGCTTGGAACAAGATGATCTCTAAGGTTCTTTCCAACCCTAACCAGTCTATGATTCTGTGATTCCATGAATAAAATTGATACAAAGCTTCTGGTATATCAAAACTAGGGAAGTCATGTTGATGGAACTTGAGACCATTTTAAACCCACTTGGTTTGTTTTTTCTGCATAAACTCTAAATAGTATAGGCTTGACAATCAGGTTCCGTAACTAATGGTCCTGGTAGGCTAGCTTACCCAGAGATCTGCCAACATCATTCCCATTTCTCTT